AAATTTTGCTTGTGATCTATTTTTATTTAAAGTAACAAAATAGCACCACACATTTCCTTCCACTCTTCCTTATTTATTATTTTACTGAAGTGCTAGTGTGACTTCCCCAATGAAATGAAGGAATGGGGTTTCATATTACCAGTAAAAAATATCACATACCTACATCATATTATGCACACACACAATAAAAAGATGGCCCTTGTTCTGAAGGATTAAGCCCCAATTCTTAAAGCTAGTTAGGCAGTAGGATTTAGGCCTTAACACTTTTGATAATCTAGGATTAACTATCTCAATATGTATGAGGAAAGACAAAAGGTGGATAGAGAAGGCAAAAGAGAAACAGAAGATAGGCACACTCTTGATCAACTTTTCATGCAGCCCTGAACCTGAGCTCCTAGACCTGTTCTATTCCCCCCATATCGCCTTGCTTCTTTAAACATAGTACTTCTATAAGAACTACCACCTTCTTGAAAATCCTGGTAATAGGAAAATGGATGTAATGGCAAAGACACCCTCTGAACCCCTGGTCTCCTGGGAAGCTTTTATGGCCTCCCAAGCTTTACAAACTTACTGATCGTGTCTCGCGAGATGCTGACTGAGCAGTTGCCCGATACTACTACCTAGTGTCACATGGCAAAAACTGTGACATGACGCTACTATGTAGTAGTATCAGGCTACTAATACAGTAGTGTCACAAAAAAAGCCATTCATTGGTGCTACTGCACATAACTCAGATTACTGTGCAGTCATTTAGTACTTAAACAAGTACTAAATGACTCTGTAGTAATAACTGTGCAGTCAGTGTCCTGTGTTGATGCAGCTGCTGTGTAGACCAGTGATCTCAACCTCTTTGGACTTGAGATGCCCCACATGGGACTGGAGGCCCCTCTCCATAAACATCTGTGAATTGAGAGACACCAAACTTCAAAAACTAATTTATACATTATGATGTTTACCTCCTAGCATGGGTGGATGATCCTCCAGGCACCCACAAGTCTGAGCCAGCTCTCTTCTGCCTAGCTTATCTCCTCACATCTTGCAGCACCTTTGAAAGGCTCTGGTGGCACCGTGGTTGAAAATCACTTGTCTAAACTACAAACCACTTAGTTATTTTTTAGAACCTCTATCAGACTTTAATCATCATATAAAGATAATCTCTAAGCATAAGAATAACATTATTATAATTTCCAGTTCCTATGAGAAAGTCCAAACTTCCTTCTACACACATACTCATGCTCTTCTCCATCCTCCCCCCTACTAAGGGAATCACTGTAATTGACAGTAGGATCATTAAAGATCATTTTGTGCAGCTCTCATTGACATGAATTGTCTGTGTACAGGAAACAATAAAATGTAGATTCATAGCACAGCTTGTTATACTTAGTTATTGGTACATATAGAATGTCCTACATAACATCAGAAAGTGAACTAAGTGCTTCTGCAATTCCTAGCATAATGAGACAAGTAAAAAATGGAACACCAACATTACTTTGGGTTTTCTTTCTCCAATATTTGCAGTTCTGGCAAATAAGAGTATGTTTCCACTTTTGCAACAGGAAAGGTGCCCTGCAACACTACAGCACAGGAATTATGAAGTTAGAACCCTTTCACAAAAAGAAAAAAAAATCTTTATACAAAACTGATGTTCAAGCCATCATTGCTGACATGTCATTCATACATATGACTTTGTTTTAAGAAAAGGAATACAGTTTATATGAAAGCATAAGAAAAATGATACAATGAATTGTAATAATCCATTTGCAGTCTCTCCATATATTTACATTTTCAAATAAAACAAATATAGACTTGAACTGTTGTTACAGAGTGGCTGATTTGGTGCTACTCTAGAAGTATCTGGAAATACTCTTAAAATATGGATTACCATCCAACAGGCTGTAATGGTATTTCAAAGCTGCCTTTGGCCTATGTTGTAAATCCTTCTTTTTTCATGGGCCCCTGATACAATGGATAGAGGTTTGTAATAGAAATGCTGACACAACCGTGTCTATAGCTCTACGAATGGTGCTGCTATAATTATACTTTATAACTTGAGCACCACTAGATAAGTTGCTAGTTTTTAATCATATTAATCAGTGCTTGAATGTTTCAATTGCCATAAATTATAAAAGTAGTCTGCACTATAAAAATAAGAAGATTGCCAAGCACTAAAGATCATATCTTGTTGTGAAACATAAAAGTATATCCAAACATTTCATTGTAAAATAGAAGAAACTATACTGAAATAGAAACCTTCACTAATTCTCCAGTTTTTGTTTTGTTTCTATTACAAACCACAGGGTTAATTTAATAATCACACTGTTTACTTCATATACATTATAGAAATATCCCTGAATAATATACAGGTTGCATTTGAATCTGACCTGTAATATTGGATTTTTCCTATTAGCAATAAATCAAGTCTGCTTCATGTCAAGGAAACCAAAATCAGGAGCGTTCTTATTCAAAGGAAGGTACTACAGTTATTCTGTATGCACTGCTATTTTCTTTAAAGGCTGGCTTCCAACTGTCACCATGAAGTAAGTAGCAAAATTACCACTGATTTCAGTGGGAGTGGAATAGGGCCCTGGGTGCAGTTTACATAAATATTTCTCTTCCTATATGTGAGTTATCTACAATTTCATTTAAGCAAGCAAAGTTTCCCACTGAAACCAGCTATGTTTGGTGCAGACTGGAGGGATATTACACTTGGGTCTGAAATCTTACTATTTTATCAAGAAAGAGTCCTTAAGGTTTTATTAGAGGTTATTAAAACCAGCCACAGTTTAAACCTGATTGCTTAGAACTCTCTAATACCACAAAGAAATTATTTGCAAGTACTTGCAGGCTACACTAATACATATTTCACAACATAATTTATTCCCATATTATCCATTAGTTATTACTCTCATGTAGTACTGAGTATATAACACATTCTCTAGACAATTGTGTTGCTTTTAAGATATACAATCTAGTTATTTAGTGGAAGTCTCACAAGAGGTCCTGTAAGTAATTAGAGAGAGAGAGGGGTAAAATGTGCATGGGGTACGGGTAATGGAAAAAGTCTGTGCCATGAACATTTCTGAAAATTACAAGAACTGTACTAGTACATGGGAGCTGCCATAGTGTTATTCTGACCCCTGAAGGATGGAAACAGGAGTTAACTTCATATCCATTTTTTCCAATTACTCAGCATACTGTATGAACACCAAACCTTAAACCACAGTAGCAGAATGTATTTGTATCTATCTAGCTTTATCCTGAAGAAATATGACAATAGTTATGCATTAATGATAAACCAACTTTAAAGTGCTGATTTTTGCAGTGCAGCTGAGTTGATAGTGATATTCCTTTCTGGTGCTAGGATGTGTGTCTTTGCAAAGTTGCTGTGAGTTGGTTTCTGTATTACAACTGATAAGAAAGAGGACTGCAGAGATTATGTTTATCAAGATATGCAGAATCCCATTCTCCTCTTCTCAACTGAAAAGTTGTTCAGGTAATTCTTGCTAGGCAGAATCCAGAGTGAGGTGGGAAAGGGCACAAGCAGGTGACAATAAGATGATTCATTTCACCTGGGTTAAGATTTCATCAGCCTTACATTTTTCAGAAAATGCATCCATGAAAAAGAAAGCGGTAATGGGCCTCAATTATGCATGTACAAGCTTGTCTATCTTACAAGAGCCCCTTCCTTTCTGAGCAGATAGGAAAAGTGAGTTGTGATTCTACAAGAAATATTAAAATCACCTGAGTTATCATTTTTCTGTCCATGTCACTGGAGAGGCATTTTTCTAGGTCCTTCCTAAAGGAAATCTATGGCCAATGGGCTACTGTCACACCTTTTCCCTCATCTACTTACTTTTGAGATGCATTTTAAAAGTTGTTAATATACTACCATTTTTATGGGATTAGGATCATTGTCAAAGACCATGTTGCATGTTCTTTTGTACATGTAACAGGTAGATTTAGATATTTTATCTGAGGATACATTTCTCTTGAGCTGTTGCATACATCTCTCGAATTTATAATCATGCTGCTCTAGTAAAAGCTCTAAGACAATGATTTAGCACACTGGGAGACAGCAATACCAGTTGAAAATCTGCAAATATCCCAGTGGAATAATCATCAAGTCTACCTTGAAAATAAAGGAGGACTCCCCAGAATTTTTATGGGGAAGAGGGGATCCGATTTTAAATTTCAGTCGAGCTCTGCTTCCACTCAGCTGTTGCCATGTTCTGAAATCACAGGTTACACTGTGACCTTGTTGAAGAGAGTTGAGCCAGATCTGTTCAATGGGACCATTGTGCAGTGTTGCAGGAGATGTGATGTTGCTCTCTCCACGGGTGTGGCTGAATTAGCCACTATCCAGCCTAATGCTTTTGTGAAGCCACTGTCCAGGGGGGAAACTCCACTGTGAAACTTGTCTCCCGCAAAAGGCATAAGGTTTAACAGGAGAAGAACAAGAGATCGCCCTGACTCTCTCCCCCATCTTCATTCCCAGCTGTCAGGGAATGAAAAGTTAACCCAAACGATTGATGCTCTGTATGATGATATTACACTATCACCGACTGATGCCACTGATGTAATCAAGTTACATAAGCATGGACTAGGCACAAATACATTCATCTGCCTACAGATCTGCAAACCTTCTCCCATCCATTACCCACGAATCCCCCAGCAGTACAGAGGGGGTATATTTTGGCATGCACTATATAACTTTAGCATTGCAGTGCATTGTACAACGTCATCACTATTGATTCCCTCCACCTTCCCCCAGCCCCACTGCTGAAATGTATTTGTAGAGAAAGACTCACAATTTGCATTGCTTGCATCCCTTTAATTTTTTTATGTGCTTGTTCTTGAGGGTTGGGGGAGCGAGTGGATGCTCTTTTTTTCCCCCCTTTCTTTCTTCTTCCCCCCGCTGCCCTCTCTCCACCCTCACACCGTAATTAAAAAGATGAATTGATTTATGATGAACAGCTCCCCAAGTAGCTGCATCTGTGTATGAAATGCTGAAGATCTAATCAGTTTGCCAATCTTCAACTCTCCTGCACGTGGTCTGAGGTTGGAGCAGGTAAGTTATTGGGTGGGAAAAAGCAATATTTTGGAAAAGCAGATGGGCAATCCATTTTTAGGCTGGTGACATTTCAGATCCCCCCCTCCCCATGCGTTTAAAGTCTAGGATTTTCCCCACCACCTTCCAGTTTGCCTTTCTCTTGTGGCATTTGCAAGGATAGTTGTTATCTCAGCTCGCCAGTGGCATTTAACCCCTTCCCACCCCCAGCCCTGGAAACAGGATTATTAAGGATTGCCACCTTAAAGTTTAACAACTTGACCAAGGGGGGTTTCTCTCCCTCCACTGCAGCTATGAAATGCAGCACAAGGCTGCCCAGAGTTGATAACATTTGTCCTAAGGAATGGATGGGAGCCGATTTCACCTTAAATAGATTCCATTACTAAGTGCTCCTTTGACTGCCATATATATCCTCTTCGGCCAAAAAAATATTGCAACCAGAAAAAAAAAAGAAAGAAAAAAAAGACTGCTTGCCCAGAATGCATACATGGTACTCTCCCAGAACAAGAAGGTTATTTAAAAAAAAAAAAAAAAAAAGGAAAGAAAGGAAGAAAACCAGGCTTTGATTTATCACAGAAGGCACTCTCAAAAATACCTACTGCAGTTATTTCACTCAACTGCCAATAATGGCTAGAGCCCTTCACATCAGTGTAATGCAGCAATCCTGAAAGTACCCAGTGCAATTACAAAGCCGCCAAGTTTAGCAATGCCACGGATGGGCTTGTGCCTAGAGAAAAATGACCTTACCCACAACGGTCTCGCCAAATGCTGCCGAGCTTGGTATCAGTCAGTAGGGTAATTGCTGGGCATCACAATGCGTATGCCGGGGAGCCACGTTTTTTACTCCTCTGGGGTCTGCTAGCAATTCACGGCGCGGACGAGCTGCCCATTCACAAGTGGCAAGTTCACCATCCGAGCAGGTAATTCCATAGAGCCGCCGCGCCCCGCCGCGTGCCCAGCCTGCTCCGGGGAGCCCCGCGCCAGGTGGAGCGCCGCGAGCAAAGCGGCCCCGGGAGAGGCGGGGGGCGGCAAGGGGAGAAGCCCCCAAGTCTGAGCGCTCTCGGACAAGACCAGGAGTCTCGATGGCAGATCTCCGCGCGGGGAGCCGCTCAGAGCCCCTCGGTGCACATGTGAAATTTCCAGATCCAGGCGGCGGCCAGAAGACAGCAAGAATCCGAGGTATATTTCACAAGTATCCTACAATAGCGGATCCGATGGGGTTTTCCTGGTACTGTACTGCTATGTGGAAAGCACACAGCGCTGCTGTTTGAAAGGATGTCTCCTGGGTCCTAGCACTCCCACAAGCACAGGGATGGAAAAAAAATCTCCAGATACAGAAGGGGTGGGGGGGAGCAGTTGTCTGCTTGCCCTGAATGATGCTAATCTCCAGTGGAAATGACAAGTGAACAACAAATAACAGGAGGTCTTGATTAATAACCACAATCCACCCAAAATATCCTAAGGAAGAGAGAGAGCAAGAGAGGGGGGGAGAGAGAGAAACTGCAATGCATAAATGATTCCAGTGTTTCTACAAGATCGGCTCATTTGATTGAATGCATTCTCTGGTTTGCTGCAAGTCATAAAGAAGATACTGTTACTGCCACCCAATGGATACTTTAGTACTAGCCAATCCATACACTACCACCGTTTTGCAAGCATTAGTTTAGAAGGCTGATTTTTTTGGAGGAGGAGGAGGAGAGGGGGAGGGACCTTCAGAGACAGGCTTTGGAAAAAGTCCTAACTAGTAGGGGTCTATCCTTGCAGACAGTGACTTTGTGTCCAGTAAATAAAATGCACGGTCTTGTGCTACCACGTGATTTTCTGTTCTTCCTTCCAGGGAGTGGAGGCAGAAGGGAGACAAACCCGGGAAGGATGCTTTGCATACAAGTTACATAGCGATCAGTGCATTTTTTTTCCTCCAGTTTCGGAAGTAAAGTGTTGTTTTAAAAGAGATGATGCATTATCTATTCTTGGATTTTTTTATAAGGCAAACTGTGGGCCTCGCTGTTGCCATGGGATCTTCTTTGTGCCAACTCTCCGAACTGTGTGGGAACAGTTTTATTTCCTTCCCTTCAGGCTTCTTTCTTTTTTCTCCCCCCCCCCTTTTTTGTTTTCCCCTCTTCTTTCTATCCCCCCTATTTTGAAGATCTGTAACAAAATGTAACTGCATTATTGCCAATTAAGACTAACAGCAGCTGCAAGGTGCAGCTAATTAGAAATGTTAATTACTTCACAAAATAAATAGTCATTTGCAGATGCTTATAGTGTTAAACAAATTCTCTGTAAAATCGAACTGGGTAAAATTCTGACCCCCCCTCGATGCACACATGCAGAGCACATGCCAATTCATTCACTCATTAGAGAGATACATAAAGACAGAGTTAAAAACAAAGTGATGCCTGGTATTTAGTAGGTGGGTGAGGGAGTGTGTGGAGGAGGAGTAAAAAAAAAGGCAGAGGAATTCCGTTACTTTCTTAAAGAAATTGAGGCTGAGCACACACAGACACACATAATATGCATGTCTCAACATAATCTCATGTTGCTTATACATCCAAGCATGCTTATGCATTATTTAATGAATGTTATAGAGATATAGATATAAAGCTTTATATCTGTGTAAGCAAAGCTCCTTAAATAATATATAAGCCTACATGGATGCATAAGCAACACGAGATTATGATGGGATGTGGATATTCCAGGTTCTTTGTGGTAAAGTGTGTAGAAGAGCATCGGAAATGATTAATTCCCTTGCCATCAATTTTCCTGAGTAGATGAGCATGCACAGAAGTATTGGAGTTTATTAAGTATTATGATAAAAGGTTAATGATGGGCAGTATGGGAATTGTAGGCTGCAAGAATCATGGGAGTTGTGGTAAAGTTAGCTTGAGCTTAATCTTCTGGTGCAGAATGTCACACGTTCTAATGAATTTGAAAAAAAAAAGGCAATCTTGAAGTGACTGGAATGCAACAACTAGTAGTTAAAAGTCATTCTGAGGGGCTGGAAATCAATAATCCTAGTTTACTAGGTGATTAGATACTACTGTGATGGCCAATCATTTTTATAGATAGGTAAGATGGACATGAAAGAAAAGTCATTACCAAAGAGAATCAAGCTGAAAAACAACATTTAGCAGACATCTTAAGTCTGATCAATGAGTCACAATGTACAACTGGAATGCTGAGAGCTCTAGAATCCCTTGTAGCAAAGCGGAGTAAGTACTGGAAGGAAAATCAGTCCCCTGGTTAAAGCTTTGGACAAGTACTCAAGACATCTTGGTTCAGCTCCTGGATCTGATACAGATTTCTTGTGACAATGCAAGTCACTGAATCACTGTTTCCGTCCCTCTTCTGTATAATGCGGGATAACATTTTTTTCTAACTCATGTAGGAGCAATTGAGGATAAAAATTCATTAATGTCTGTGAGGCGTTCAGATACCATAGTGACGGGAGATGCATAACAGCCTAGACAGATATCAGTTGGCTGAAAGACTGTCTAGAGGAAGGAAAAAGAAGAAAATGTTGTGGAATGCAGAGTGTAGAGCAAAACATTTAGTATCTGATATATTTATTATAGTGGCTACAGTTAGAGAAAAGCAGTACTAGACTTGAAACTATAGAGTTTGAGGGTAGGCAGATACATAAAATACTCCATGTCTAAATGTAGGTTATTTTTTTCCCTTATTTACAACTAATACTGTGTAGGTGTATATATGTGCTAACCTTCCTAAGCACCATGCTGAGTCCTCACTTAATCTTGTCCTCCGTTTGAGAGATCCAGCATTTGACAGAGGGCAAGCAAGGATGTGCAGAATGTGTATTAACATCTTCAGTGTAATATATACCAAATCTATAAAATACCAAAAACAGTATGGTTAGGGGGATGAGGGAAAGACCCTGATGGGCTCTTGATGAGGAGGAACCCGTGTACATTTTGATATATTACATACAGTGGAGCTTTCAGGTGGTATTTGCATCTCTTCTATATGGAAAACAAAGAACTTCAGTCATCTCCATGGTGCTGTCATACTGTGAGGATATTCTTCTAGGTTGACACCCTGCTTTAGAGAACCAGGGTTTCCAAAAGGAGCAAAATTAGAGGTGTAACAAGCAGGTTTGTGCCCCCCTGTGGGCTGGGGTGAACGTAAGCGTGATTCTGAGAGAGGAGTGCAGGAATCTAACCTATGCTTTGGGAAGTCCAAAACAGTCCCTGCCAGCTGCTGCTGCTACCACCATCAATGTATTCTCTACTGCCCTGGCTTTCCTCTTGAAGCTGCAGAAGCAGGGTATCCTGCACCATGTGCAGCAACTTCAAGAGCAATGCCACAGGCATGCAGACTTCACAGGATGATTCCTGAAGTCAGTGGGAGTCATTTAATTGATTGCTGTGGATCATAGATCATAATCATTATTTTTTAGCTGCCAATCTTCCCTTCTTAACTTGGTACCCAAAGCTGGTGTCCCTTTTGCCCAACCCTACTTAAACTACTGAGCATCTTGTTCTAAGTATTGCTTTCAATGCTGTTAAATTTGATCAATATTGGATTAATTAATAATGTAGCATATACTATTCTATGATGTGTATATACTTCGAGGCAATGTGTCCTTTGAAATCAGGCGGAGGTCCTACCTACTTCTCAACAGATCTCTTAGTAAAAATGTATTGTGGAAAGGGACTTGTGCAGTCAATGAAAACTTTTTTTTAATAATTAATATTTATAATGAAATGAATGGAAGAGTAGGTGGCTCAGAAGATTGCTAAAATTATATAGCATCTTTCACTTTTAGATGGTTTATTCAAATACAGTTCAATATTATAGCAACCAAAGACTACTACCACCTAGTGGCTATTTGGTGTTCTGTACAACTACTCTGGTGGTCTCTGTATGCTTTCCAGGTGCCCATCTCACAGTTACCTATTATTAATTTTTTTAGAGCAGTGATTGTCAACCAAGGTGCCATGCACCCTGGAGTCCTTTGAGATCCTATCAAAGGTGCTGCC